TTTTTCTTTTTGGATAAGATATTTTCCACCCCATCCTTACATTTCACATTCCCCACAGTTGTAGATTTATGTGTATAATGTGCCCTCTGTCTGTTGTTTGGCCCCCTCCCCGTTACACAAACATACCCCCAAAAATTGTTTTAAAAATCGATTTTCATCCCCTCTTCAGCCTCTCCTACTTAAGGTGTAGTAGTAATCCTCACGATATGTCCTAACTTTTAACTGAGGAAGCGACGCGGCCAACTAGCAGATAAGTCGCCACCTTTTTTCAACAACTGTGCCCAGATGTATACAGATTAGTTTTTTGTGTCATTTAGTAACACAATGAAGCGGAGTAAATGGAGGGTAGTTTCATCCCACAGCACCAAATGTCCCACATTTTCTGTTAAAGACCCCCCCCCCCCCCCCCCCCCCCCCCCCCATTTTTTTTCATCCTTGTATATTGTCATTGTACTTCTAAAGTATATATCCCCATTGCAGTGTCACCTTATTGGACACTTCTGTTTCTTTTCTTTTGGGTTTAAACTCTGCATTCACTGACATTTTACAATGTAAGAGTCTGCTAGCTACTATGTTTCTACGATAACCGCGTCAAGCATAGGGAATGGCGAAGGGGGCATCGGCGATATTCTTGAACTTTGATAGTTGGAAGAGTGTGACGTTCTCCACTGTCTAGGGTTGGCCCTTTCTGTTCCTGGATATGGTCGTTAAGTGTGAATTTTTTTACGTTTAGGTAGCCTTTCTTGGTTGAAAAAGGCGTTAAATACGTGATGGTACAAGAATTATATTTTTACCAGGAGTGGAGGCGAGACAACATGAGTGGGTCTTGCTGTGTACGGAGAGGTTCACGTCACTACAAGGACATTGATCATTGGGGGCACGCCTTCTGCCTTACACTACAACTCTATGAACCATGAAAAGAGACGTTGTAAATGGGGGTTTAAGTGATATTTGGGAGGGATGGGGGCAGGTGTAACAAGTGAGTGGCCAGTTGTTTGTTATCGCCATCCGTGTTTTTTCTTTTCTTAAAAAACCCCCAAACAAACAACAGCAAAAAAACCCCACAAATGAACAAAAAAGACGCTGAAGATTCGTAGTATTCAAATAAATTGTTTTGCATGAACAGTTGGAGTCAAAGTTTTTTTTACGATGTAGCACAAACGAAAAGGTGAAAAGGTGGGAAGGGGG